ATCATTTTTTTTTTTTTTTTTTCATTTAATCTACCACGTATTATAATTTCCTCCATCCTCGTCCTCGGATGAGTTACAGCATCCGCAAGCGAGCATTACTACCTGTCCATTGGTTCAACTACATTGAACTATACTGTTCATCCCGAACGGACTCGAGCGCTCCATAGCCAAACTAAAAATGAAGAACCAACCTCCGTACCAAGTCCTCCCGTCCAACCGCCAGAGAGAACGTGCCGTATCGAATCGGCAGTTTCTAGCAGGCAGCTGATTCGACTCGCCGTTTCGAAACTCAAGATTCGAGAGAGAGATACCAGATTCAAAGGACGACGTCATTCCGTGTGGGCAAACCATACATTCCAATCCAACTGTACTTCATTCGAAATTCCACCAGCTGTGGTAATACTCCCTTCGAGAAAGATATACAGAGAAAAAAAAAGCAAAAGGAGACACGTACCACTCACCGTAGCCATAATTTATCCATCTATCCAATATCTCACTATGCAATCCGTTCTCCATGGGTATATCGTACGCTTCCATGAAATCTCATCGATATTCCATCTGTAGAGGCAATTTCACGCGATGATCGCATACCTTGCCCATCAACAGTAACACTCTCTGCTGTTTCTTATTGTTAGTGTGCCAGCTCGGACGTTCCTTCACGTTCCTCGCGTTCCCCGTGTCTAATAATGGAGCTTGGCACCTTGATGGTCCGCAACGAGGACCACCCAAATGATCGTAACTCGCGATCCCGGTATCGCGACGGCTGATTTGTATTTACGAGAGCGGAGAGTAGGTCGACCGGGTTGATTGATAAGCAGAGCCACGCGCCTCGTGGACGAACACTCACGGAAAAGGCGACACGACCGCCCGCGCTGTCTGCTCCTTAAGGCCGATACACATACCGCCCCGCCTTTCTTACATCGTGCCGTTGCCTTTTATGTCGCATGGTAAACAAAAGTCGCCGATGTGCTACTCGCATATTGCCGAGATGGCGCTGCGATCGGATGCGGGAAACGCGGGAAGTACTTACTGGTGAGAACCGAAAGGACTCGTGTTTAGTTGGTTAATCTGCCGCGCGCGGTGCTCGCGATGCCTTTTGAATTTCATTTCTATCACTGACCTGAAATAATGAATATTGTCCACTGTGGTAGACGCCTTGGGAATGCTGAGCGCAGGTTGTGATTGATTTTTTAAGACTTTTTTTTCATGTGGCAGATATCCGTCGAAGATTTTTCTTTGTTTTGGAATCGTCAAGTGCAGCAATATTGTGGTTTGTGGTTATTTAATTATTTTCTGGTACGTCTAAGAGTTGATACACAGTCAACGATGGAGAATGTGCTATTATTTTAATCGTTACATTAATCGTTATAGCACGTCGTCGCGGTCGTAAAATGACGATGCTCACGGAGAACTAATTCCTATGATATACCAATGTTTTCGTTTTGCCAAGAGTAACGTGACTCAAACACACGTGTAGACACTTCCAGAGCGTCTCGCGCACCTAATTATTCATCCTATAGGTATTCCGTCCAGTTCCATGCATACGATTATACGTGCATCGCCTGATTATCGCGAAGTTAAATGGTTTCGTCGATTAAAAGCTCGTTAGGCGACACACGCTCTGCTGTTTGCAAATAGCGAATTCACACCGTGGACACGTCAAAATTATTCCCGTACAAATGGTAGTAAAGTCAATTTAAACAGAAAAAAAGTACCCATAATATTTTGAGCTCCGTCGAAAAGTTAGATTCCTAGGTATTTCGCGATAGATGAAATTTTCGTAATTCGCGCAACACGTTCTCGCCGCAATCCACTCGAAAGGTTATGTAGAAACTGTCGACGGTGGTTGGAGGGTAAAAAATACGTCCGATACGATCAGTACGCACGGGTCGGTTATGGCGCAATACGCATGGCTCTTCCCGCCAAACGATTCGGGGCCACCTGGAGAATTTAAGAGGAACCATCGAGCGACGATAGTTGCCGCAGAACCACGGCAGATGGCGCATCGTGTCATCCGGTGCTGGAGAACCTTCGGGATACAGCTGTTTATGTGCTGCCACCTTTCGCACCCCTCGTAAAACGTTGAACGGCACTGACCTACGCATGTCCCGGCACCATCATAACATTACCAACACCATGGTAGCCCACGATTTATAGCCCGTATCTCGGCGCGGCATCTAAACGATTATTTGCCGTTAAACGTAAACGGCTTATAAAAACGGTCCTGCATAATAGAGTAAATATAGGCTCGATGTTTCCCTGGCTGAATTTATAGATCCACTTACATCGATCGGTTCGAACTATCAACCAATATTTAACGCTTAAGGGTATACGAGTTACTTCGTCTTTACGTTTACCTACGCGAGGTCGACGTCAAACTTTTTGCGCAGGTTGCCTCGCGAGTACGTGGGAACGTAGTGAGCGCGAAAATGATCTATTTTCAGTGTGTTAATTATCACTTAAAGTAATTGGTAATTACTGTTTTCGAATATAACGATATCGATTAGTGATACGCAGTTATACGTTTGATCTTAAGGGTTCTGGTTTACACGTGACTCTTGTATCCGGCGCTGTGCACTGTTTTGTTATTGCGTAAAAAAAAAAAAAAAAAAAAAAAGGAAATGACTCCAATTAAAAGTTGCAATTAAACAACACGAACGATTATCGTAATTATGTGCATCCGCAATCCTTGTTATCGGGTTTGCTGATTATTTATGCCGCGTTTATCGGAAACTGATCGAACATCTATGAGGAGCAATAATTTATCAGTCGTATGCGCGGACGCGCTTCTTTGGCTATGGGCTCGTGTAGTTTCGCTCATTGGAAATCAGAAGAGTGAACTCCGGCCATTTGAATAACAAACGATATGCAAATTTATTTACCCCGTTTGCCCGTTAGTAACCAGCTGGGTGTGTTGGTCGTAGTATGGGTATCCTGCAGTTCATTTTTAGATGTTTCATTGTGAACGATAAATTCTTTTCGGCTCACGGCAGATTACTTCCGGATTATCCTGGTAGCGCCATTTTGCACATTGTCGAATTCACGCGCGATTAATCTCGAGGATAATAATTTCTTTTTTTTTCTTACACTGTATATCGGACGATTTTACGTAATTTTATTGTAATCGTTAATTCGCTTATCTTTATCATTTTTTTTTGTCACGTGGTATCAACCGACTTTTATTTTTAATGAAATTTTCGATGATCCAGTTTAAAAAAAAAAACGAAATATATACAATAGCGTGAAACCATTATTTTCGATGATAATTATCGGTAAGCGTTGAATGGGATTTAATTTTTTAATGTGCTCTCCTCATAAATCTGTCGATCGTACTGAAATATCGGTTCGGGGCGTCACGCAGCCTGCGGCACTACCGGATGGTTAGGAACTGTTATCGATAGGGGAACCCCTTAATGCTCCGTTCTCACGTCTTACACTAGAATATCCTCTTCTTTCGTACAGTCTTTTGCAGTCTAAAACAGAGTCTTAGATGGTGGTAGTTCGACTACGAGGAGATTTTAATTAAGCCCGCCCTTCCAGTGTTTCGTCTGATTGGATGAGCTAATCCCGCGCCCATGAAATTTAGGGTCTCGCTTCTGGTAAGTAACAAACCCCTTTTGTGCTTTATAAATTCTTTTTTTTCAATGGCTCGGGGTATAAAAAAAAGACAGTCCGACAAGAGGCAAAAATAAATTTACTACGTACAATTTACGCGTTTCTGATTGGTTGGAGCTTTTCTTTTTTTTTTTGCAAAATAAATACACTTTTTTTTTCTTCCGGAATACGACGGTGCTACTATAGGGATTTGGGGTGGTTTTTTTTTTAAAGGGATAATAACTATAGATAGACTCAAAAGTTGTTTATACCTTACCTAATTTGCGGGAAAGCAATTTTTCGAATTTTCAAAATTATTCCAGACTCCCTCATTTGGTAAGCCGCACCGGTATGCTTTCACAAAATAAGAAATCACCCTGATGACTTCAGACGTGGCCGAGTCGGCGTTTCCGTCTATCATCGTGGACTGGGGCGGTCAGGATTTGGTAGTCTGAAGTCAGGGAGAGGGTAGGAAGAAGGTGAACACGTCAGGGGATGACATCTAAATCTCCCTTTTCTCTTGGACTGCCCGCCCTTTTGCTGGCAAACGCTTAGAGCAAGGGTGCTCCTTCCTATCCGCCCTGTTTCCCTAAAGGGGAGGATACCGCAAGTACAGTCTCTCGTACAAGTTTTTCCATGCTGGCAGGGGTGTCCATTTGGTCGGTTCATTGAATTTGACCTGGTCGGAGCATGCCCGCGTTGGAAGGGCTGATATTCTCCGGCGGTAAACGTTTGGAAAGATTATCGACGTTGTCGGGCGGTACAAAGAGGATCGTTTACCTGAAAATTCCGTTTACTTTTTCACGTAATTACTAACGTACATGGATATTAGAGTTGCGAGACATCAATATAGATATATCAGGTAATACAATATAATATACACAACAGAAGTAAGTCACAGACACCATAAAATTGTTTTTATTCAATAACTGTCTAATTAGCGTTTAATAAATTTTTGTACGATAAATCATTCGAAATTTATTTTATATATCATTAATTAATTAACGCCATATATGAATCAGAATCGTTAACTAAATATTTCCGTAAATTCATTTTCTGTTATTTTTTTTGAACTCGATAATCCCAAGCACAGTGATATAATGCGCAAAGTCAATTTTCATACAGCCTACGGATGTCACGTGCTAAACCATAATTACCTCCTCTCATTTAAGTCATAATTTGCACGCTGATCATTCAAGTAATAAGCAGCGGCCTTCGACAAACGTTTGTTCAAGAGACCTTACACACATTCCACGCGTCCGTCGCGACGTCCATTCCTTTAGTGCAGCGTCTTCCTATAGTCTTGTCGACGGTCTAGAACCGGGCACTAAAGATTTAGGACCCTCGATTTACGTAACGGGCCGAGGCAAGAGGGCTAAGAAGTGGGCTTTATATTTTTATGGGAGTGAAAGTTCTCTTACCTCGGGACCTGGAGAAACGCGTACTACGAGGGCATCATCCACGTCGTCCCCTTCTTATTTTTGTGAGAAATCTCGGAAAACCCGTAGCACAATAACCGACCGAGTTTCACTTTGTCCTTCCAGCACGAAACGAGGAGTAACAGGGATGAAAAGCCGGCACGTTCGTCCGGGAGAAAACTAAAAAGTCTAACGGTGTTTTTCGTGAAATCATTGTTCAGTCGGACGACGACTTTGAAATCTTCGTTTCGAGGGAGAAATAATTGGAGAACCATGCAGTTCGGCCACGAACCAATAGCAGTATGAATTACTACTGAATTCCTAAAAAAAAAAAGGAATGTGAATTGTGATAAAATATAAAAAATAATGATTATCAGCCGATTAACAGAAGTATAGTGGTTCAAGATGTAGAATATATAATCAAGTGTGAAATTTTTAGTGACATCAAGAGACACAGCTATACGTATAGGTGTACCTTTAACGACAGCACGTGCTTAACCACGCGTCCACGTGGTTGAGAAAATAATGAAGTACCTAGATCGGCAATAACGATTGTATCGTGTTACGACTGGCTAACTACCGGTAGATTAACAGCGGGCATATAAATCGTATCCATTTAAAAGAGAGCGAGTGCCTTTTCATCGTACATCTCCCGAAATCGTATCGTCTTGAGATTGAAAAAAAAAAATCAAAACTTCAATATCACTCGTACACAAAATTCGTACGGTGCCCTTATGTTGATTTTGAAAAAAAATTATTTAATACAATTTTTGTACTTTTTTTTTATCAACTCCAATTATTTTCCTATCACTACCAAAAGTTCGATTCTCCATGCAATA